ATGGGGAGTGGAGGATCTCAGCAGAATCAGGCTCATCCAGAACTCATTATTCTGCAGAACCAAACACGAGTTAACACTTAAAACGTCAACCTATTTACAAGCAAAGTTACAGCAGCACCGCAGTTCTCTACCTTTGCCTGAAAGGAACTGTCCCACCCCTTGGTGAACTGACAGCTGCTCCAGACTTAACCCTGTTCTCACATAACCCAGTGCTTAAAGCAGAGATTTTATTATGCTTTTGTTGTGCAGTAAGATAAACTCTTCTAAATTCTCTGGACAACCTGGGCAGGCAGCTCTACCATCTCTGTGAGCCCCAGTGCCAAGGCACTAACACTTCAGCCTGACCCCAACACCCAGGGGAGTCACTTGAGTTCCTTAGTGTACCAGGGAATTTCATCACAAAACTTCTTTTTCACTCTTGCCACTTACTTCACTGGCATGGCCAGGCTGATAAAGGGATGGGTTTCTTTGCTTTTCTGATCTCACACACAGCACTTTGTGCTGAAAAGTGTAACAGCAACCAGCAGGGCCAACTGAGCAAGCAAATAAATTACAAACATTAATTCAGCTCAGCACAGCATCCACTTAGGCAGAGTTGAGCACAAACTCCAATCACTGTGTAGCCTCACACAGAAGAATGAAGCTCAGGGCTTGACCCCACAAAAAATGGAAGAGGTGGAAATAGTCTGGATGTTTTTAACAGGTTTTAAGCCTCAGCAGAAAGCTAGTCAGAAGCACGTGGGCTCCTGCTCATCCATGCCAGCCAAACAGATCTGCAACAGGTAACTCTCCTGCCGTTCCAGTAAGAAACACTGAATTACACAGCAGTCCACAAAGGCATTTACAAACCTCTGACCAAATATAACTGAAGGTTAATTTCTCAGCAATCCAAGTCAGCTGACTTCCTACATCTACCTGTAGCAAAACACAGCTGGCACACACCCACCCCAGCAACAGGCTGTGCCAGCACAGGGGCAGGTACCAGCAGAGCTAACCATGGCAGGAGACAGGAATGGGAAATTGAGTTCTGTTGCTTGACTCCAAACCCTATGCTGTGCAGTTTTTGTCATTATTAAATCACAGCATTCCATTCTATCTGCTGTTTCTTTGTTCCCTGTACCTTGTATAGCCCATATGCTCACAGCAGATGGATCGATGCTGTAGCTCGGTGACATTTTTCTAATTAAAGGCGGATTTGTGAAATTCTTAACGAATTTCAAAGGAAATGCTCCCTGCTGAGGCAAGGTGAGTCAGCACAGCTTCTCTGTCAGCAGCAAACGCCGAAGTCAGGGAAGTGAAATTGGTAGGGTTTTATTAAAAAAGGCAACAAGCTTATTTAAAAGGTAAGATCACAAAGAGCTGAAGGAGACAAATAGGCAAAGCCTGGAGAAAGTGAGTATGAAACAACAAGGAATAATCAAGTGAAGGTTTGATGTAGACAATCCATACAGACACCAGGAGAACACAGAGGTGCAGAAGGCTCCTGGCCCTGATCACTAAGCATTATCTGCCAGATACAATAAATAAATTATTTCCACTTCTTCAGCTCCATTAAGCAATCTAGTCTCAGTGAGATTAAATCAGAGGAATTTAGGGTTAAAGTAACACTGTGAAATAACTTCAGGTGTCACATAACTTAAAGTCTGAGTTCACAGTGACCTTTGTTGCACTGAAGTTTGCTCTAACAACCCCAGATGTTTCCTGGCTCTGTACTGACTCCCATTTGCAGAGTGTTGTGACTAACCTTGCACTACAAATTGCTGAACAAAGTTAGAGCTCCAGCCATTCCTGAATTTCAACACAAGTTCTGACTGTGGCAGGCTGAAGGCTGAGGTGGTTTCTCCAGGGAGCCAGCACTGATGTTATGAGGCTGAGGTATCCAAGGGCTGCACCATGCTCTGCCACCCTCACCGAGCCACAAACCAAGAGGCTCTGCTGATAATCACTTCAGTGATTTACAACTTACCTGCAGCTGATTTATCACATGCCAATACTGGAAACCCAGTGAAAGCTGTCATACGTCATTTAAAACTGTATAATCACCAGCACTTAACCTGTGAATTGTATACACTGATTGGCAACTTTGAGCAGCATCAACATCCTTTGAGCCTCATGTCTACAGACACGTGCCACAGCCAAGCCAGCACCTCACAGATCCAAGTAACAGCAAGATCCTGTGTTAATATGGCAACACAGTGCTTTGCATGGAACATCAGACAACATTCTGTCCTTCGCTGTGGAAAAAAACAGCATTTGTATTTTCCAATGTTCACTCTCTGTTTCCTGTGCAAATTAAGTCAAGGGCAGCTCGTGATTTTACAGCTCCCAACATTATGCAGACTGCATAGCAATACTGCAGCAGTCTGGGCCTCTCTGGCTCGAGGAGGAGGAGGGGATAGAGATCCCCACTTTTTGAGGTGTAGGGTGTCACTGAGCTACTGAATGACTCTTCCAATCCTTGTGCCACACTGTGAGGCAGAGCTGGTACCAGCTTGAGGGAGAGAAAATGGGGTACACCACCCAGACTTGGTAACATTTTCCAGGAAAAGAACCAATCCAACTCTCCCACCAAACTCTTTTCCCCTTCCTACAACTACCTGCTAAAGCACAAAAGGTAGGAATAGGTGACAGGCAGGTGCAACATGATTGCTGTACAAGGGATTGAGAGTTGCATCTCCCTCTCCTTTAGGTCTCACTCCACAGCAGCATTTCCTTGGCCATGCCACTTTAGACCTACAGTTATACATCCTCATTGTCTGTTGCAAAAATGGGGGGGAAAAAACACAGCTGAAAATTCACCAAACTCTACCTAAGGACAACTGGTCAAACGAACAGTTCTCATCTTCCCAGTCACTCCTGCCAAGTGACCCAACTCACCCAGTGGTTTCCAAACTCTGCCTGTCAGAGTTCACACCCCTGTCAGCACAAAATTTCTGAGCATGGACTGCCAATACATGTTTGTTATTTATAAACCAGGTACACGTACTACTGAACTAACCCAGTGTTGTAAAACATGCATAGAAATAAAAAAAGAAAAAACATTTTAAATAAGTTTTATAATGGTACCCAAAAGTATTTCCCTCCCACACTCCAGTGGCCTGTCCTGCACAAACCCCACTCTGGAGAGCACTGATCCAGGTGTGTTTTTCACCAGACAGGCTGCACAGTTGGGAGAAAGGAGACCTCGTTCCAGGTCTTTTCCCATATTCCCATATGACTTACCCAATATGCCTAGGCCTGTCCAATCTCCCTGCTCATACAGGAAGTAAAGGAACTCCAGTTTTAAACCAACAGACCAGAACTTGCCTCATAAACTCCAGTTGCTGGATTTGGGAACAAACTCACAACTTTCCCCCAAATTCTACTGAAACAAACACCATGAGTTTGCTCACAATGAAGAGAGAGCCAGTACACAAATAAACCTGAAGCTATTACAGAGCCTCTTTTTGAGGTCTCTCAAGGGCTCCACTGCAGAGTTAACCAGCCCAGGAGAGCACACACTTCTCACAACTACTTTATTACTCTGTTTTTAACTGCTGGCAAGCAACAAATGCCTCGGATACAGCTCTAGGCAGACTCCTTCAATGCTTTTCCCAAGGGAAAACTTCACTCACTGCCTTAGACAGATATTGTAATTTATGCTAATACTTTGCAATTACCATCTATAATAGCCTAATTTCTGGATGACTATCAGGGAAATCACAGACTCATTATGGTTGGAAAAGGCCTCCAAGATCATGAAGTCCAACCTTTGACAGATCACCACCTTGTCAACCAGACCAGAGCATGAAGTGCCATGTCCAGTTGTTTCCTGAACACCTCTAGGGACAGTGACTCCACCACCTCCCTGGGCAGCCCCTTCCAAAGCCTGACAAACCTTTCTGTGAAGAAATTCCTCCTGATGTCCAGCTTGAACCTTCCCTGGCACAGCTTGAGGCCATGTCTTCTTGCCCTGTCACTTGCTCCATGGGAGCAGAGCCTGACCCCACCTGGCTGGGAGTTGTACAGAGTGAGGAGGTCTCCCCTGAGCCTCCTTTTCTCCAGGCTACGTTGCTTCCTGGGTTGCCTGCCCCTTCTTATAAGCCTCATAAACCCTCTTTTTTCCCCCCTGAGTTCCTACAAAAGCTCCCTGCTCAGCCAGTCTTCCCCACCAGCTCATCTTTGGGCATCATCCTTCCTAAAGTACATCCAGCCTTCCTGGACTCATTTGTCATTAATGAGCTTCCCAGGGGACTGACTCTCTGACCCAGTGTCCTGAACAGGCCAAAGTCTCCCCTTCAGGAGTCCAAGGTAAGAGATTTTGCTGACTCCCTTCCATACTTCACAACTGAAAACTCTGTCATTTCATGGTTGCTGTGCCCAAGGTGACCTCCACCCACCACATCTCCCACCAATACATTAGAAACATATCACTGAATAACCTGGAAAGGTTTTTACTTGGAGTATTTCAAAGTAGGCTTCAAAAGGAGAAAAACAACATACAAGGGAACAATCTTTCTGCAGAGGCATGGCAACCTCCAGATGACTGAGGAGATCTTATTCAGTGCCAATCCATCACCATCTAGCCAACAAAAAAACCCCAACAAACCGTAGCAACTTTCATAAAGAACAAACTTTCATAAAGAAAATCTGTCGAGGTAAATGCAAGGTTTGCTGCAGAAACAAGCTAAAAGTTGCTAAGGAAGACTACTCTGACTGCTGCTTGTCCCATTGCTCCTTGCTTGACTGTGATGTGCCATCCAACCAACCTAAGGTGTTTCAGAAGTAGCTCTGGTTTCACTGATCAAATACACACAAAATCAGCCACCTGCCATGTGAGAAAATGACTAATGCTTGCATCTTTTAAGCTCTTTGCTTCACCACTGAAGAAGCTTTTGAACACAGTAGCATTAGTGTTTGCTGAAAGAAACTTGCCTTTCAAAACAAGATTTCAAAGGGCTTAAGGAAACATACAAGGAGACGAAAAAGATCAAAGGTAAAGCTGAGTAACTTACTGCTGCTGCTGCGGCCTCCTCTCCACCTACATAGATAGAAGCAGCAATCTCCATCATGGACAAGTTTGTGGGAGCATCTGTAGTAGATGACGACCTGGGCCGACCTGACTGAATATCCTGGGCAGACCTTCTGTTGATCTGTGGGCTTCCTTTCGGGGCATCTGCCTTGCCCCACCTGCTGTGCAGGCTCGTCCCTCTCTTCATTTTAGGTGGCACTCTGATCTGCTGAAGCACCCGGTTCAGAGCTGTGGGGTGGGTGGAGACACCATCAATTTCAGCACAGACGCTTTGGCTTTCCAAATCCAGGTCAGGCTCCAGCTCAGCCTGAGCTTGCTGCACATCGTGGGGAGAAACAGACGATCTCCTGCGCTGGTGCTGGAAAAGGTGCTTCAAGCCTTGCCCAATGACATTAATGTTCTCCAAAGCATTATGCGTTATTTTGGATAATTTTTGCTCTGAATCATGTTGTTTTTTGGTCTCTTGATCTTGGGATTTGCCTCCAGGATCAGGGTCATCGCACAACTGTTCAGTGCCAGAGGGCTCCATTGATGACACCCAACAGCTTTATTTGACTAGTCATACATAAATGAAGTCCCCTGTCTTTTAAAGGCTTGTGTTTATTTGGAAAATGCCAAGATTGTCAGCCAATTAGGTGTGCAATGGCTTCAAGAGTGACTACACATGCAGCTGTGCCACGGTGATCTCATGCTTATCTAATGTTAAACAAAAGAGTCGTTATTACACATCCATGCAGCAAGTAGTGGGTTAAAAAATCCAATGCGAAAAACATGCCATTAACAAAACAAAAGGTATCAGTTCTCGGAGCACCTCTCCAGGAGGCATTAGTCGCATCTAGGCTGAATGCAGAAGCCAAAGCTTGTGTGAGACAAGTCACTCCTCGCCTGAGGGGAGAAGCCCAGCACAGAGGGAACAGGAAAGCAGGAAAGGAAAAAAAAGCTGTTCAAAAGGGGGAGAAGCAAGGAGAAACCAGTGCGTTTTTGTTTATGAAGAACAAGCCCATAACATCATCTAACACAACATGAGATTAAACTTCTGAAGAGCACGTTAGCCTCTTTGGCAGAATTAGTTTTGCTCTTTGACAAAGATCTGCTACTTTGTGCTTCAAATTATTTGCTCTGCCTACCTGATTTTCCTGTAGGATGCCCAACTTACAGTATTTAACACATGCAAGAAAACAGAACATTTCCAAATCAGATATGCATTTCCAAATAGCAAGAAATGGCTTATTACTGCCAGCATCCTCTGATGGCACCGGGAACTAGATGTGAAAATCTGTCTTCAAGCAGAACAGGCAAGTGAAACTCTTGCAATTGGCATAGCCTTGTCCATAGCTCTCAGAGAAAACAAGAAAGCCTTTTTACAAGTAGATTAAGCAACCAGTCTGCAAGGGATCAGCACCAGGTGTGTGCAGGTGAGTCCCTGGCAGAGGAAACACACAGCTTTTCTCCAAGAGCTCAACCCCAGAGCCATTCCCTGGGCTCGGGCAGGGACTGTGCAGCTGAGCACTTGGACAGCAACAGCTACGGGAGAAGGTCAGCAAAGAAACAGGGAAGGAAAGGAGGAAGGAAGGAAGGACACAGGATCTGAAAGAGGTTCACATCAGCACCATGAGATCACATGCTCAGAAGCTGACCACTGTTTTCTGCAGGAGAAAACTTTGATTGGGCTGCTATAAATACAGAAACCAGCTCAGAGGTCTACCTCAATCTTGGCAGAAAGCAGTTTGTGCTTTAAAAAACATTATTTGAAATGCAGCATATGTTTGGGATTTGAGAGCATTCATTTCTAGCCTAAACCAGCTGCAGAAACATAATGCATTGAGGTTACAATTGGAGCACTCTCGGTTTTGTGCATCTGAAGCCTGACACGATGGGTTAAACAGATATTCCAAAATGCTTTCCAAACTGCCATCCAAAAATATCAGAAGAGCTGCCTCACTCTTTTTTTTTTTTTTTTTTTTTCAAGTGTCATTGCTATCAGCTGGAGGCAAGATGAAATTCAGTACTTACAGAAAGCAAAACACTGGAATGGTGCAGGATTTTATCTCAGTACTCTGGAGATGCTATAAGCATTGAGGCTAAATATTCTGGCCAGTTTAATCAGTAACACATTCAATGCAAAGTAATAGATTACACCCCAGAAAAACATATGTACCCACATTCATGCAGCGATTGTGTGGCAGAGGAAAAAAAGAATGTGCAAACAATACATTTACATACTTGGAGTGCCTTTGTGACTAACAGTATGCTGTGACTCCTGAGCTCACTCTGATGGTTCTTTTTTCCCTTGGGTAGAGGGTTTCCAGCAGGCTGAACTGCAGCTCTCCAGCCAGTTTATGTTTTGGGGAAAAACCCCACAAAATCAGGTTTTCATTTTTAACCAACAGACCTGATGGTTCAGTGCAGTGAACTAAACTCACAGTGTAAAAAAACAACAGTCCCCAAACTATTTGGCGTATGAAGTACAGACCTGACAGCTGACCCATAACTGCCTTTTGCATTTTAGCTAATTCACTCAGCATTCATTTCTCAGCCAGGACTCACTGAAGAGCTGCAGTTCTTATCAAAGATGACCAAGATACTCCCTAACCAGGATCTCTCCACCTCCTGCATGCTCCTGATCCAGATTATTGCTGGTAATGCTGTTGGTCTCATAGAACTGCACTTCAGTCTAACTAGAGTTCTGCTGGAAACAATTCACCTGCTGCAATTAACCCTATGGCAGTTTACAAACCAGGGTGAACTCATCAGCCCACAGTGAGCTCACAGACAAGGCACTGCCACCCTGTGTGTTCTGGGACTGACTTCTGAGTGACACTGCCCCTTTGAGAGGCTCCTAATGGGAGCTTTGCTGTCAGCTCCTACTCCTGTTTCCATAGGATGAGTCTGTTGTGTGCCTGAAAAGAGCTTTGCAAATTGTGTATCTGGTATAAAGATCCTTTAAACTACTTATTTGTTCTAGTATCTACTTTTGGGGAAAAAACAACTCATAAATGTGAAGAACTGTCAGTCTACAGAATGAACTAGCACTTACTGCATTATAATTCAACTTTGGTGCTTGGGGGTTTTTTCCCCTCTACTTACAACCACCTTTATATTCTGATTGAGGGAGGAAACAGAATATTTTATAGCATGAAGTTCAAAAACATCCATTTTTTATCTGCAGGAGAATACACCACATCAGGGCTAAAATTCACCACTCCATACACAGCCACACTGAGCAGATGTTGTGACATTATCACATCCCAGAAAGTGCTAATGTAGTCCACCATTTGTGCAATTATCTCACAGCAGCTCTGGGAAACAGAACAATTTGAAAGGAAAATCTGGCAAAGCCAAAATCAGATAACTGTGAAAGGATGAACTCGTACTTGCCTCCATCACTTGCCCTTTAGCATGGCTGGCACACAGCAGTCCCTCCACGGAGCAGAGCTGCAAAAGAAACTGGGGATGAGAAGCAGTTCTGGAAATGGGAGAAAAGATGTAAACAAACAGCAAAGCGAGTGTGGCTCCAACTTCTAAAATTATTATTATTTTTTCCATTTAAAGGCAAGTGCCTCTGGCAGCTGAGCTATTTTAAGTTCTTTCAAATAACTGGGGGGATACAAATATAACTGAGGTTAAAACTGGGTCTTACAGAGTTAGTCAAGAAGTTCTTATGAAGGAAAATTTTTCTCCTGGAATTTATGGGCACCACCACGTGCTGGGAGTGCAGGGACATGTCAGGGCTCCAGCCTGCAAGGTCAGCCTGCTCCACACAAGTTTTATTTCTGCTCCTGTTCAGTCATGCAAATGCTCTGGGCACAGGTCAGACAGTTGGCTCCTACCTAGCTGGAGCTCACCTTGCACGAGACACACCAGCACTTGTGTCAGCCCAGTTCCCAGGGCAGCCCCTGCCCTGAGCCACAGCCAGGGTCCCCACACAGAGCCCTGCAGGACACCCACACCCCCAGACACAGCCACAGGCTCCACACAGAGGGCTCAGGGGTGTGAGTCCCACCAGGCAAACCCCCAGCTGCCTTTAGGGGTGAGGGTGATACAAGGAAAAGGGGTGGGAGCACATCCCAAGGTTACTCAAAAGGCACTAAGAACTGTCCCTGTCCTCTTTGGAACAGTCACCTTCTCCCACACCTTCCCCACACACATTAACACATGGCCAAAGGGTTCATCAGCAGAGGATTTTATGCTTTGGCACACCAAAATGTGTTCACCATTTCCAGTGCTGTATCCATTAATGGTTCACATGCTCACACTGTGCAAGGGCAGCATGCTCAGACGTACCAGAAGGTGATCTTTCAACACCATCCTCTTCTCAGATCCACATCCTGTTGAAAGAGTTCCTTCCTATAATTTTATATTTAATACTGCTGACCAGCAGAACTCATGCACACAGTGTATGTTCCTGAAAGCCCAAGCAGTAATGCTGCAGATGAAAACTCTGCTCAAGTCACAGATGAGCAGATAAACATTCTCCCAGTGAGTAATAGATCTCTTTCTCCTTCCAATTTCTTTTTAAGAAACATCTTCCTGAGTACACCCACACCAAATCCAGCACCTTCAGTACCACCCAAGGGCAGCCTTGAAACGAGGGCTGTCCTGCAGGACACAGTGCTCACCAACTGCTGCCAAGGCAGAATAAAGGCCAATGGTTCTTCTGCGAAGTTCACATCTCAGGACCAGAGATAACATCACCCAAGGTTAGGCAATTTCCCTTGTTTATCTGAGTTACAGTAACTCAAAGTGGTTTAAAGCTGAGTGACAGGTTTTCAGAAATGGTTCAGACAGTACAACCCTACTGACACTTTTTCCACCCCTCTCTGAGCACTCTGCAGCTCAGTGCTTACAGTGCTGTCTCAATCAAAGCTATACAGTAGAGGTCAAGACTTCTCCAAAATGAAGAACCATGCAGAGGTACCAATCACTACATTTGGTATATGCTAGAAACATCACCTGACAACCAAAGCAAAACATTCCAGCTGTATTTCTACAGCTTGTGACTTGTTTTTTCCACCCCTCTCTGAGCACTCTGCAGCTCAGTGCTTACAGTGCTGTCTCAATCAAAGCTATACAGTAGAGGTCAAGACTTCTCCAAAATGAAGAACCATGCAGAGGTACCAATCACTACATTTGGTATATGCTAGAAACATCACCTGACAACCAAAGCAAAACATTCCAGCTGTATTTCTACAGCTTGTGACTTGTTTGTGTCACAAGTCACAACTGCACTGCTGTGTTTAGAGCTGCCATGCCACAGAGTCTGGCTGTGGGGCAAAGCTGCTGGTTCCACAGCTCAGCAGAGCTTTGCCCTTTATGAATTTCTTAGCTACATAAAGTACTTCTAGGTGTATATTACCACAAGAGGTGAGCAGTCTATTCACCCTTGGAATATTGGAAATACTATTAGTTCCCTAGTTTTCAGGTGAAAAAAAGCCAAACACAAACATCAAGCAGTAGCCTTAAGGTTACATGAGACTTTTAGAACAGAGAACCAAACTAAAAATTTCCCCTTAGAAGGTCAGTGTTATATCTCCACCATCCCTCACTGTTGCTACCTTTGGATCTGTTTATCAGCAGTGTACAGCACAGTAACTGAACCTACCAAAACCAACTTAAAAATACTCTTTCCTGGAAAAGGCTACATATAGGCTATTTTCTACCAATCCATAAAACCAGCACTTCAAGAAAGCTAAGTGCAAGTTAAGGAAGGATTTAACTAGAGCTTCTGATTTGTCAGTGTTTGCAGTGACATACATCACACACATTCTCTGGGAAGGTTTTTGTGAACATACCTATAAGTTCAGAGACAACACTAGACATGCAGCCTGCAGGGATTTTATGAAAAACCCAGATGGGATGGATCTGGGTGTACACAAAGGGTTCTTACCAGGATGATCTGCTTTCCTAGACTCAAGGAGAACCTTGCAGTCTGCAGCTGCACCGTGTGCCAAGGCAGGGCTGACCACTGGCACTTTCACTTGATTTACTGGCCTGTTTCAGGAAAGCCACATCCTCACCTACTCTTCTTCAAAACCAAATTGAAGCAAAGCCAAACAGCAGCATTTCCTCAAGAACATCTCTGCTTTCTGCTAAAGGGAGAAAAGCTGCACCTGTGTTTCTGTGTTCTACAAACCAGCCAAGTGCATGCTCTGAATTCAACCTTCACTGGGGGCACTGAAGGGACATCTCCAGCCACAGCATGAGCAGGGATCGGAGTCTGGCCTTTCACAAAACAAGAAGTAGGACAGAAATAGCAATTTAAGGAATTTCCAAGCTCTTTTGTCCCTTGGGGCTTGTTTTCAGAACCACAGCATGGCATCCCACTTTAGCTGTTGTAGGCACAGCTGTTCCCAGGGCTGTGACAAACCAACACAAAAAAATAACTCTTCCTTGAAGGAAAACAGGACTGAGGGAAGAATCTGATCCCAGACCCAGTTATAAGAACATTGGGATAAGGTTAAAGGGAGGAGGTACAGAGACAGGGCACAAATACTCCAAAATGGTGTTATCACAAACCTCTTATCTGCAGCTGTGGCCACACCAGCTGGAGAAGCAGGAAGTCATGAGACCTTCAGTAAGGACTCAGCAAAACCAAACACCCCATTTTGTAAACAAACCACCTGCCCTAAAGGAAAAGAGTGAAGTAATATCACGCCAATGTTCAAAACACTGAGTCTTCCACAAAGAAGAGAGCCCTGTGTGTACGGAAATCAAGAACAAATAAACCTGTATCTCTTGTAATCCTGATCAACATTAGCACCAGCAAGGAGACACTCTTCCCTAGACGTTTGCATGTACTCAGTGTGAAGGCCAAGCTCACGACTCAGCAGACAAACAACAAAGATCTGTGTGATAGTTTGGGGGATTTTAATAACATGACTTAACTCTCCACATTCCACATACAATGAAGTCAAAGTGCAGTGAGAGTATCAGGGACTGGAGCAGGGAAAACAATGACACAGCCCAGAGAGGCAGCAGTGGCTGGGCCTGTCCCAGAGCTGCAGGCAGACTCACTGTGGCTACCAGCAAAAGCATAAGGCAGCTCAGAGCCCCACAGCCCAGAGCATGGCCACAGGGTGGAGATGAGACAAGACAGGTCGTGTTTTGGAAACTGCATGGGGGGCAGAGAGACAAATGTGGTCACCAGCACAGCCTGCTCTGCTCTCAGCTCAGAAATGGGGAAAGCTCCAGGTTCATGAGGACCATGGCAAGGAGAAACTGCAACTGCAACATGCACTCCTGAGTGTGTGTCTCGTTTCAAATGCAGCTTGCAGACAGCTGTGGAGTACTCCCATCCCAGGCAGGAGCCTATGCAGAGCCTCTCCAGAGCAGTACAGCAACAATTAAAGCTTACCTTCAAACCCCAAACGGATTCTAAACATGCAAAGGTGAAAAGGAGCAATTCAGTTTCTTTTAGCTTCCCTCTCTTTAAATAAATCTTTCACTGGAACAGATTTAATTCCTTGAAGCATCTCAAGTGTTTCTGTGGTCAGCTGCACTCCTGCTATTGACTTCCCCTATTAACATTTGACTATCTGGACCTGATTCTCCAGTCTCTGGAAAAATGCAACATTACTAGGCCACGGAAAGCATTTTGGCAGGATCTTTTCAGGAGAGGAAGGGGCGGGGGGAGGAGATCAAAGCTGCTCTTATCCTCACTGCCTGTCTGCCAAGAGACACTGCCACTTTCAGTGTGTCAAAGCTGACTCAAATGTCAGGAACAAGTGAACCACAAAGTGGAAATACAGGTATTTTTCATTCCACTTCCAAACGAAGACAAAAGGTTACACTACAGCTATTTTTGGCATTAAAGAGACACTTCTAAGCATGCTAGTCATAAAAAAAAGAAGAGCTGGCCTCTCATTTTAACTCCTAGCAGATTCCTCTGTGACAATGCCAGCACAGAAGCTGGCAAGATTTAGCACCTCTCGTTCTAAAAGAAAGGTTTATTCCAGGCTTGGAGTTGTAAGCGGGTTAAAGCAAGTGAAATTAGCAGGCTTGTAAAGAAAGATATCATCTCCCACTGCCCACGCTACGTGCGATTTTAACATGTGCTTTTAGCCTTGCATTTTGGAAAGTATCATATTTACAATGACTCGTGAAAGAAGAAAGTAGAACTAACCTGGCACAGAGTGGTAAAATACTCCCCCTGATGACTCAAAACCAGCATTAATCCTCTGATCTTTCAGAAGTGTTGACTCAACTCACCGAGACTAAAAGACAGATCAAATGAAGTTTTCATTTGCTTCAGCAGAATCCCAACGCCCTTCCCCGACTCAGTGCTCTGAGCATGGGCACAGGACAGCCTTCCACTGACACCTGGCATCAGATGAGGCACCAAGTTTGACTTCAAGCACTCCTCAAAAACTAACTCAAACCATACTCAGTACCCAAATGGGGAAAAGCCTACTGAAATCCAAGACACTCAAACCATCCCCACCCTGAGCTCCGGTCTGTGTCTCTGTATGCCCCACACTGAGCACCCTAAGCAGTCCCTGCACACACAGCCCTGGGCTCAGAGCCTCCTGTGTGCTGGTTCCCTCTGTGCTGCTGGGCAGGGTACCTGAGAAGCTCCATGGCCTGAATACCACCACTGACTGCAAAAGGCTGTCTGCAGGCTGCAAAGCCTGACAGCCCCTGGCACTGCTTAAAACGTGACTGGAACCAGGCCAGGCAGAAATTCACACCAGAAGTCAACAGCCCTTGCTAACACACTCATGGCTTGTGCTGCTTCACCACTTCCAAACTGGATCTGTAGTCACCATCTCACAGCCTCATCCTACTCTCCCGAAGAAAATTCTCCTTCCTCATCCTTCAGTCTAGTGAGCTTTTAAGAAAGACAGGCAGTGTGTGTTTTTAACTCATTACAGCCACTACTCCAGGTCCCAGGCAGAGCTTGAGCTCCCTGCTCTGCTCACTGAACACCAACACCTGCATCCCCAGCATGCTGAGGTTGATTTTATTGCCTGTGCACTAAACATGGGACCATTTTAGTGCAAGATTTGATCTATCAGGAGCATGATCACTCTTTACTTTTAATCACCTTTCCTGGCAGAGACAGAAGGAATATTTCACTGCAAGGTGAGATACATTCAGCTTTAGCTGACCAGTCTTGACAAGGTTTATAAAGGAGCAAAGGCCTACACTCTTTGGACTTCTGCAATAAAAATACTGAAGCCCATCTATGGCCCTTTCCTTCTATTAGATCTAATCATGCATTTTGAGAGAGAACACACACAAATTGCACAAACACAGCACAGCTCAGCAGACACACTCACAAATATGCTGCTCTTCAATATCCACCTCCACATCCAGCTGCACAGAGACAGTCAACTCAGTGATTTTGGTATAAAGAAACTGGGCTTGACGACTTGCTTGCCAATGGGAATCAAGCAGTCATGCATTTAAAACCTCAGCCAAAATCAGAATGTTGCCTCCTACACTCATGGCAGAGTCCTCATGGAAAAAAAAAAGCACAAAATCTTTACCCAAAGCAGCATAAAAAGGGAGAAGATTTGTTTGAAGCAAGGCTGAAGTTCACCTAGCACTGAGAAGGTGCAGGCTGATAACCAGAGCCCAAACAAACACCACACTAACAGCTCCTTGCAGAACCACTGTCCAACCTGGATGTCCCCCAGAACTTCCAGTGACCTGCTGCAGACCAGCCTTGCAGTGGGCAGTGATTCAGGAGCTCAGAGTGCTGTGGGGGCAGCACCTCCAGCCATCCCAGAAAAGGCCACAGTCCTTTGGCTCCAAACTAGAGTAACTGGGGATCATGAAAAACACATTTACTTGCTAACGGGATAATCACCACGGCAACTGCCTCCCAGGAGAATAACAGCCAACAACCTCAGGACAAAGGCCACTACAGAACTTGCCCAGGAGAATGACCAGCTCACACTGATCCAAAAAGTACTGAAATTTGCCAGATTTATCCCTGAAGAAACTGTAAATAGACACCTGCAAACTTCTTCTCATAATCCGTCACACAGCTGGATCAGAGGCACTACCATCCATCTCCACACAGCAGTGTCCTCTAATGTGCTCTGAGATTTTCAGACACCTTCTAGGGCAGTTTTAGGGCAAGACTCTCTGATCCACACAATTTCACCTTTCAGACCATTTCTTTATAGTGAAATAAAACTTTATTTTACACTCAAAGTCCTTGTCACTCCACACATTAGCATTCACTTTTAGTTATATGAGTTTGAATAATTCAACTGTGACACTTAAGTGATGCTTTCCATGAAACTGAAGGTTTTACAAAGGTGGATCAACCTCATCCTACAGGTAAGGAAATAAAGATTCATACTCTGGTTAGGGATATACACTCAGGAAGACAGGGAATCTATATATTCTTACAGGTTTTCAGAGTGACTGCAGGAATTGTTCTGTTTTCACAGCACAGCAGCTTTTTTGGGGAAATGTGCACCCATTTTAATTGATGGAATTACAGAGATCATAACTTATTTATACACAGCTAAAAATGCACCTAGGTAGTTAAAGAATCCATGTCCCTGGTACACTGTCCAAAGCACCACCAAATTGGCAACAGGCAGTTCAGCAAATCACTTCACTGCTGGTGTGTTCCTGCAGCTTTCACGAGAGCAGCTCAGGAAACAAAACCATTTGTGCCCAATGCTATTTTAGCACAACCAAGCAATCCTGCCCAGGTAGGCTGAGGAACACAGTTAAATTGGCTGCACTCATCACAGAGAATCTCACCAAGCTGCCAGCTCTGCTTGCAGGGAGGGATGGAGGAATTCCCTGAGCACAGGTGGGGATCCCTTCCAACCACAGCCCACACAGCACTGCCCACATGGCCCACTCTGCTCCTGTCACAGAACAACACCAGCAGGCTGTCTCTGGCCAGGCAGGGAGGGAGATCAGATCTCTGTCCCTCCAGTATCATCTCAGCCTGAATCACTGGAGCTTGTCAATAAATCCCTTAAGAAAAACATGGTCTGCCAAATACATCCTGTACAGCAATGTGGCATGCTGAATGATTCAGTCAAGTAGCTACTTTCAGCACATTAGCTTTCCTTTTTAAACAAACCACTAATGAATAATGTCTCTTCTGGAAGCCAGAGCTGTGTGTGCTTGGCTGCTTTCCACTGCAACCCACCACTAACTGACATGATCCCCACTGCCCTGGCATGTTGGCACCTACACCGCAGGGGGATAACCATGCCCGAGCAGTCTGCAGGGGGAACAGATGCTATCAGAGCACACTGGCCCCTCCCAAACCCACACAGAGGAAGTTAGATGACTTCCTCATTCACAATTTAATACATAAGCACAGCCAAAAGCCTCCAGGTAAAACACAGCTGTGCAAGCTGGTGACTTTCTGTGCTGCTTACACAGCCAAAGTTGTCCATCTCCTGTTACCTGGGTGGGACAAACCTGCAGTGAGCCCACCAGCTCTGCTGCTTTCTGTGAGCAGAGAACACTGTGCTAGCACCTGTGCACAGGAAAGCATGCAAAGCCTCCTTCTTTCCAAACCTTCCCTCCAGATGCTTCCCAGCTCGAGGCAGGTACGTTGTAACTCCATGTGAGCACTTCACCTAACCAAACAGAGCAACCACTGTGGCCTCCCAGGTGCATTTCAATCACTACTGAACCTCTGCAGACCTTGGTGGCTTTCAGGAACATGGTGGGTGAGCAGTGAAGGCTCTCAAGAGAATCTTTTGAGTACTCCCAGAGCAGGTTCAAACAAAGTCACCTTCCATCCCTACCAGCTGGGTGTCCTGGTGCTCCTACACCTCACTGTGCACATGGATATTCTATTGTTAAAACCATGAAAGATGGTGCAGATCAACCTGAACCTAGAAAATGTCTCCCCAGAGCTCTCTTTGCCCTCCCCACTTTCCTTCCCATGTGTTCTAGGTCATAGCAGGCATACATACCTCAAAAATTGCTCAAGGTAGCTTGTCTCTTTGCATAGATATGCTCACAGTTGTAATCCAAATGTCTTCAACAGAGGTCTAACTTTAAAAAAATTTAGAAATAGGAAGTCCACAGGAAAGTCAGGGGAGGGAAGGAGATACAATTTATCAGCTTCTACATTTGCAGACATCTGCAGTCAGTACTGTAGGCCATTTTCAGAGTAAATCTTGGCAACAAAGCTTCTTTGTAGAGGAGAAAGACCTGCCAAAATCAAGAAGCACAGTAAGAACACCATTAATACCTGATAAGCGATAAAACAGCCCACAGATTCAGAGTCCCCTTCGGAGAAGAGAATGAACTTGCTAGAAATACTAGTTTTGTTCTAGCTTTGATGCATTTAAACCCAGAAGCAGCCTCTGAAATTACCTCGTATATTTCCAGTACTTTAACCTCTAGGAAGAAAACTCTCTAAGCATTCAAATAAGGTTTGATCCTATACCACACCACAGTGCCTGGTTTCAGGCCAGCCTTCCAAGCTCACCAAATGCCTTGCTGTTCACAGGAGAACTTGTGTGACCAGTGCCAGACCAAAGAATTGTGCTGCTGTCCCAAACAAGGACCAACACGGAGCCTGATGGAGGCTCCAACACAGCATTTACACAAGGTACTTACTCAGAGTTCCTGCACAGCATAAACGTTCAGGAGGGTTGGCAAACCTCTGAAATTCTCTGATTTGGGTTTAGGTGAATAAAACAAACGCTTTTGGGGCAGAGATCTCCTACTCTGTGCTTGCATTTCACATGGTATGTCAGAGCCAGCTCCAAATCAGAGCTGTTCAAGGCTATTGTCATACAAGTGTTTTGTACTGTTGGTACCACAGTAGGATTCTCCTTTGCAAATGAAGAAGGTCAGCTAGATCTGTGTTATCACAAAATGCTTCTGAAAGCAAGAAGACACTGCATTTCACTCCACACAATCACGTGTTTCCTTCTCTCCTTAATGTGCTTGGCTGGAGGAACACTTACAAGAATTTGGAGCTTATATTCAAGCTTAAAGAACCAGCTCATGTGCTGTGACAACATCCAGGGCCTCAGCTGCTCAGGGGGGGTTAGAATTTTACCACTGGGAAACCCTGTGCCGACTTCACTGACTTGCTGAGGTCAGAAGGAACCTCTGGAGGACACCTGGGCCACCTAGGGCTCGTTGCCCACACTCCAAAATAGCCAGTCCCACTGTTGGAACACCACCCTGTTCCTGCCCCAGAGAGGTAAACCCATCCCAAGGTGTTATCACACCCATGTGTTGGAATGGTTCACAAACAGTTCTCTGAAAGACTAAACATGACTATGAGTTCTGCCTGACCCCAGTGCAGCCACAGCCACGGGCTCACAGCTGGGCACAGCCCACTCACCCAGGAAAAGGAGGAGCTGACTTTCCAGACACAACTCATCTCCAAAAGCAAACACCTCTCTGAACACACAGAGACAAACCTGTACTCTCCCAATGACTTCTGGTTTCTACCTCAATTACATGCAGGTTTAATTATTGGGACCCTAGCTATGACTAAATTAGATGTGAAAGGGTCCAAACCATGACAGAGAACTGCTTACAAAAACCAAACTCAGCAACTTTTAGGTGGCACACGGAGAGGGGAAACCCAATTCTTTCTAGCACAAAATCCACACAAAGTAGATGCTCCTCTATCTTCAGTTTGCTTCCACATTTTGGATGGCTGGATGGATTTATCAGGCAGCTGAACTGGACACAAAGCTCCAAGAAACTTGTCCATCTGGCACAGGAACTCTGTGAGGCTGCAGAACAGCACAACTCCTACAGGTTGGGAAGCCCCACTGACCTTAGAGGAGAGAGAGGAGAATCCCCCAACACTGGGAACAGCCTCCTGGGGGGGCACACTGTGCTTTTCTTCACCCTGGGAGGGCGATACCCCTAGAGGAGGATCAACACAGAGCCACTTGCCAGTGCAACCCTGTGCCAGACCGAGCCAGCAGCGAGCAGCAGAGCTCAGCCCCATGCACTGCCACTCTTACAGCCTGGCTATGTGTTCCTTGCAGAAACACCTGCTGTGTGGCTGACACACACCAATTCTGACGCAGTAGCAGTTCCATTCCTCTTCTCTAACATTCCACTCAAATCTTTATACCTTCTCCTCACCAAGAAACCTCCTCTCCAGTTCCCTCGAGGACAGAATCCTGTAGAGAAAACCGGACACCGAATACACCAGCTACATCCTCATCCCCGACGCGGTACACACAGGCTGCGGACACCCCAA